TGGGGGGGCTCTGGGTTTGTCCCTTTCTCTGGGTTTAGGTTTTTCTCTGTTTTTGGCTGTGTCACAGCACAGCACAGAGCCCGAGGAGCTTCCAAGGATGGAAGGAGAGGAGGATGGTGTTGGATTTCTGTGCATATTCTGTGTTAAATACTTTAAAAGTTCAATTGAGGCAGGCTACTGTGGATGTGGTCAGAGCCAACAGGGCAAGTGGAACCCTTAAAATTACCCAACCTTTCTCCCAACCCATTAAAATTAAAACTGGGAAAACTCGGGGTGACCACCAGCTCCTGTGTGAAGCAGGGGGTGTTGGAGGGAGTGCTCCCCACAACCACAGGGCTGCTCCAGTTTGCAAATTGCCCTGCAGCAGCCTGGAGCTGCAGGGATGGGGCAATGCAAGGGTGGTCGTGGCAGGATGTGTCTCCCAAAGCTGCACTCCCCAAAGCAGGAGCCAGAGCACGCCGGGGTGGGGTTGGGATGAGCTCTGTGCTGTGCCCGGGGTGCTTTCAAAGCTGTGACTCCTCCAAATAATTCCTCTCACCCCCACCCAAATAATCCCTGGGTTCTCACTCAGGGCAGGGGCTGGGGTTGGACCCCCACATTTCAGAGCAGCCCCGCTTTACAAAGCCACCCCTGGAGTCCTGCCCTGCCCCAGGAGCTGTCTGAGCCGAGGATTTTGGGGAGCGAGGGGAACAGAATGAGAGGGCAGGCAGGAGAAATTGTTAAAACAAGATGGACATACCTCTTTATTGCAAATTCCAAAGTAAAAAGATGTACAGTACAAAGGAACTCAAAAGTTCAGCCATGGAACTCCCAGCCCGTCCCTCCATCGCCTTCCTCCACCCTCCCCCAGCTGCCTCCTCCTCCTCTCCCCAGGTAAAACAGAACAGAGAGGAAAACCAGGGCTGGGAGGGGAGCAGGGGGCCACCACCAGCGGCCTGAGCGGGGCTCGGAGGGGAGAAGCGGCCCTGCCCCACGGCTGCACGGCGGGCAGGGGCTGTGGGACTGTCACAGCAGCATTTTGGTCACCCCTGAGTGCCCCACGGTGCCTGCCCACAGCTCCGGGACCCTCGGTCACTCATGGGGCCTCACAACACCCCTGTGAGGTAGGGAACGAGCCACGGCAGTCACGGGTGGGGAGAGCTGGGAATCCTCCATCCCTGCGCCCGGTTAAACCAGCGGTGCCGGCGTGCGCGACACGGGGGGAGCGCAGGGAGGCACAACCACGCTCTGGCTTTGCTTGGACCGGCCTCAACCGAGCAGCAAAAAACTCACACCTGCCAAATAAACTGGACCAAAACTCCTAATCATGGCTCCTACGAGAAATAATCCCAAAAGTCAAAAATCGAAAGCAATTCCAAGGTGGTGCCTCGGGCATTCAGCTCCAGGTTAAATCTGCCTTTGGGGAGGGTCGTGCCCAGCTCAGCCCTTCTGGGCAGGAGGGGGAGGGGGTGCTGGGGGGCAGGTGAGGGTCACCTGTGGGCAGCCCCAGCCCCAGGTCAGGGCCCTTTAGCACCACGGAGCAGCAGGAGTCCCCAGCTGAGCCAGCCCTGTCACTGCAGGGGGGTTGGTGGGAGGAAGGGAAGCCCAGGGCAGGGGTGGGAGCACTGGGAGCACTGGGAAAACTGGGAGAACTGGGAGAGGAACTGGGGGGAACTGGAAGGGACTGGGAGCACTGGGAGCACTGGGGGGCAGCAGGAGCCCCCAGAGCAGCCCTGCAGAGCTGCTGCCCCACAACCCCCTGGGGAGGAGGAGACTGGGGGGGGGCTTTGGGGCCTTTCTTGGGTCTTTTTAGGGGAAGAGGTGGGGGCTGCAGGTGAGGGGTTACAGGTGAGGGGTTACAGGTGAGGGGTTACAGGATACAGGGTTGCAGGTGAGGGGTTACAGGATGAGAGGTTCAGGTGAGCAGTTCCAGGTGAGCCATCACAGAACAACATCCTCTCCTGCCAGAGCAGATCCAGCACGGAGCATCCTCACCTGCCTGGGGTCCTCACCTGCCTGGGACCCCCATCCTCACCTGCCTGGGGTCCCCATCCTCACCTGCCTGGGACCTCCATCCTCACCTGCCTGGGACCTCCATCCTCACCTGCCTGGGGTCCCCATCCTCACCTGCCTGGGACCTCCATCCTCACCTGCCTGGGACCCTCACGCTCACCTGCCTGGGACCCTCACCTGCCTGGGACCTCCATCCTCACCTGCCTGGGACCCTCACCCTCACCTGCCTCAGAGGGAGCCCCGAGCAGGCACAGCCCCCACAGCCCCAGCAGGGCTGAGCCATCACCTGACACCTTTAACACCAAAAACCTTCCAACAGCTCCTCCTGCACCTCACTGCTCCCCAAAACCACCCTAAAAACGCCTTGGGGGGAGCCCAGAGGGGCAGGAAAAGGGGAAGAGGAGGAGTGAGAATAACTGGGACACCAAGACAACCTTCCCTTGTACAGTGAAAAGGGAATTTATTTCATTTATTTGAGTTTATTTCATTTTCTTTTGGCTTATAGGAATTGTTAATCATGTTGGGTAAGACCGGTATGAGCCACCATGCAATTTCTAATACACTAATCTTCACTATTGAGCTTTTACAGCTTGAACAGCTTGTTGGTTTGGTGTTTTTTTTTTTTTTTTAAATTTTATTTCATTTCTGCAGCAGAATAATCATTCAGACTCAGGTGTGGCCTCTAGGGAACACCATGGGGTTACCTGATTTATTTATTTTTTTTTTTTTCCAACATTGGCTTCTATATTTTCAGAAAAGGTGAAGAGGAAAGTGAATAAAGCAGCTCGGACTGGCATTTCATTAACGCCCTCCCCTCCACACTTTTGGAGTCACAAATTAACCCAAAAGGGAGGATTTTAGAGGTGGGGGAGGGAAGGGAACTCCTTGCTGTGGTCGTGAGTTTTGGCTACACCTTCCTAACCACACCACCCCCCTTAATTTGCTCCCACAGCCCTGAATCCAGAAGGGGAATTCTGTGAAAAACACAATCTGGAGATTTGGGGGAGACAAATCCCTGAGGCTCTTTGCCCAAAATCTCCTCCAATCTCAGCTTCACCCAGTGCAGACCCAACTCAAACTCCTCTGCCCCGGGGAGGAAACCAAAGGACAAAACCACCCCCAAACACCCCAAACCCCTTTTTTTTTTTGGAGCAGAACCAACTCCAGCCAACAGGAAGCTGAAAAACCTCCTCCCTCCCCTTCCTCTTGCGTCTCACACTGACAAACACTAAAAAAAAATAATATATATCCAGAGTTTGGAGGGACTTTTTTATTTTAAAGTCATTGAGCAGCTTCATGAGTTGCCAGCACAAACGCCAACGCACCGAGTGTCACCTACAAGACTCAGCCCAGCCTAGGAACAATTGTGAAATTCAGCCAAATCTTGCATAGAAGTGGTCGACTTATTGCACATTGGAACCCAAAAATAGACATTTTTGCTGCTGCAAATACCACTTGCAATAAAGCTTTTGTTAAAATCTATTTTGAGGGGGTTAGGTTTTTGTTTGGGATTTTTTTGTTGTGGGGTTTTGTGTTTTTTTATCTTTGGGGGACATTTCCTGGCTATCTAAAATCTAAGGACAACAGAAAAATCTTAAAAAAATAAAAATAACCATGGACAATGGCATAAGCCAGAAGCCATTCTATAATTTTTTGTAGTTCTTTGTATTTACAAAAAGGCATGCCAATAAAATAAAATGATATATTACAGTATTTATAATATTCTCTTAAAAAGTTCAACCACACTTTTCAGCTATTTTTTTTCCTTTTTTTTCCTTTTTTTTTTTTTCTTTTTTTGTGCTGTTTACAACGTAGCCTGTACATATGTATGTAGATTTTTTTTGTTGTTGTTGTTCTTTGTTATTGTTTTTATTATTACACATCCCATCCTGGGTCCCTGCTGGGGGGCAGAGCTGCTCCCGTGCCGTGGCCGCCCCGAGGATGCCAAGGTGGCACAGATGGCTGCTGGATGGCTTCCTGCTTGGGTTTGGTTCATTTTAGGCGATTCCTGGCGTTTTCTGGGTTTATGGGATTACGCAAACCGAGATTCATCCTCCCATCAATTGGGATTTGTTTTTTTTTTTTTCCTCCCCTGCTCTGGGTACCCTTGGTTTGGATGTCACCCCTGCAGCGACCCTTGGCTTCCCACCCTGAAGGGACCCCCCAAGCTGAGCGGGGCGGGCTGGGGACACCCCAAAGGGTGGGGAGAGGGAGAGCAGCGGGACGTGGCTCCTGGAGCTCCTGCTGCTGCAGTGAGAGCAGCCCCGGGCTGGGGGGGAATGGGCTGAGCCCCCAAAACCCCTCCTGGCCACAGCCCAGCACCCCGGGGGCCAGCTCTGCACCCCCCAGAGCAGGAGCCACCACGAGGGCCACGGCACGGCCCAGGGTGGTTCCTGACCCCAAAAGTGAGTCAAGTCCAGACCCCAAAGGTGGGTCCTGACCCCAAGGGTGGGTCCTGACCCCAAAGGTGAGTCAAGTCCTGACCCCAAAGGTGGGTCCTGACCCCAAGGGTGGGCCCTAACCCCACAGGTGAGTCAGGTCCTGACCCCAGGGTGGGTCCTGACCCCAAAGGTGAGCCCTGACCCCACAGGTGAGTCAGGTCCTGACCCCAGGGTGGGTCCTGACCCCAAAGGTGAGCCCTGACCCCACAGGTGAGTCAGGTCCTGACCCCAGGGTGGGTCCTGACCCCAAAGGTGAGCCCTGACCCCACAGGTGAGTCAGGTCCTGACCCCAGGGTGGGTCCTGACCCCAAAGGTGAGTCCTGACCCCAGGGTGGGTCCTGCCCCCAAAGGTGGGTCCTGACCCCAAAGGTGAGCCCTAACCCCACAAGTGAGTCAGCGCCTGGGCCCAGGGTGGGTCCTGACCCCAAAAGTGAGTCAAGTCCAGACCCCAAAGGTGGGTCCTGACCCCAAGGGTGGGTCCTGACCCCAAAGGTGAGTCAAGTCCAGACCCCACAGGTGGGTCCTGACCCCAAGGGTGGGTCCTGACCCCAGGGTGGGTCCTGACCCCAAAGGTGAGTCAAGTCCTGACCCCAAAGGTGGGTCCTGACCCCAAAGGTGAGTCCTGACCCCAGGGTGGGTCCTGACCCCAAAGGTGAGCCCTGACCCCACAGGTGAGTCAGGTCCTGACCCCAGGGTGGGTCCTGACCCCAAAGGTGAGTCCTGACCCCAGGGTGGGTCCTGACCCCAAAGGTGGGTCCTGACCCCAAAGGTGAGCCCTAACCCCACAGGTGAGTCAGGTCCTGACCCCAGGGTGGGTCCTGACCCCAAAGGTGAGTCAAGTCCTGACCCCAAAGGTGAGCTCCGACCCCAAAGGTGAGCCCTGACCCCAGGGTGGGTCCTGACCCCAAAGGTGACTCCCAACCCCACCCTCCACCCCAGGACTGCTGTGGGCGAGCTCCCCAAATTCCCACCAGCAGAGGTAACGTGCTGCTTTTCCTTTTTCTAACATTTTTTATCTCTACCAAAAGAAGTGTCTGCGCCGCAGGACGGAGGCTGAAGGACAATTAATATTAATGCTAAATATTGCAGGATACAACTGACCTTGCTGGCTGGTTGAAGCCCTAGCTTTTGGATTTACAGTGACATGGATAACAAGCCATTCCCAGATTTATCCTCTCCCTTTTGGTGAGGTCCAGAGCAGCATTTTGGACTTTTGTTCTGTTTCAATGTGCAAAAAAAAAAAACCCATGGCTGTATGGAAAAGAAAGTTGTTCAACAGACACACACAATTCATTCACCTGCTTGTTCTGTTGGGGGTTTTTTTTGGTGGTTTTTAGAGTTACACTGAGGTTTTGCTGGGTTTTTTTTTTTTAAATTCTACTGGCAGGTTTATGGAAGATTCTCTGTGAACTGGGAGTACTGGTGCCGGGCAGGAGCATCACTAAGGTTTCTCTCCAAAATACAGTAGATACTCAGTGGAGTGCCTCAAATTTATGGCTTTACACACCTCTGTGGCCAGGTGAGCGCGTGTCCCCTGCTTGTGGTTCCTCATGCATGGTCCCTGGTCATGCCATCATGCAAAAAATCTGCAAAAATCTGCAAAAATCGTTTCTAGGCGTTAACGAGCACTTTTTGGTTTTTTTTTTTTGGGGGGGGATCAGCCCGAGCTGGCTCCAGGCTGAAGGTACCCGACCACCCCATCTCCCAAACCAAGTAAAGCCCATGTAGAAAGTAGAATGCAAATAATAAATCTCAGATAAACTATGGTGACTCAGTGGGCTTAATGGGTGCTTTGTTTTGTTTTTTCCTTTTTTTTTTTTTTTTTTTTTCCTTTTTTTTTTTTTTTTGTTCTACTTGTTTTAACTCTTTTTTCGATTTTTTTTCCTCTTTTTTAAATTATTTTGCTGCTTAACTAAACGCAAATCTAGTTTTGCATGAACAAACCCACTGACATTGTGACTTCTGGGTTTTCTTCTGAGAATAATCAACAAAATGGGAAAATAAAATCCATTTGGGGCTGCTTTGGAAAACACATGAATCCCAGCAGCGGGTTTTGTCTCTGTGTGTGTTTCTCTGTGTGTGTGTGTGGTTTATTTTGCTTGTTTGTCCTAAGTTGCATTGACTGATGTGGAACATGCAGTATCCACCTGCCCAAACAATAGAAAATCCTTTTTTTTTTTCCTTTTTTTTTGTGTTTAAATGTTTGTTTACAGGGTCCTTTAACAGGTGGTAGGTCACTGCTTTAGATGCAACGCTGTCACACAGTAAGCAGACTATGTTTGGTATAAGATCTTCAGGTAAGTGTCTCCACAGCTCTTCTGTATTGATATATTTCAGGAAGTTTGTAAACAATCTTTTTTTTTTTTTTTTTTTTTTTTTTTTTTTTTTTCTCTTAAAAATTTTTTTTTTTCTTTAATTTATTTTTTTTTTTTTTTTTTTTTTTTTTTTTTTTTTTGTTTCACTTGCAAATATTTTTAATTCGTACAATTCTACTATTTTTTTTTTTTTTTGTTAACTTTTTTCCCTTTCTCTCTGCACGTGTGTGTGTGTGTGTGTCTCAACACTTGGCCACCCTGGCGTCTTTTTGTCTCTTTGCCTTTTCCCTCCTGCCCTCCTCCGCCCGCTGCTGTTTCTCCTTCTCGGGTTTGGTGACGCTGTCGTAGGAGGGCAGGGACGCCGTGGAGGGGGTGCCCTCCTTTTTCTCCCTGTTGGCTCCCCCGTTTTCCAGTTTGGGGGCGGCAGGCCTTCGGCTGGTGAAGCCCCGTCGTGCCAAACGAGCCCTGTACGCCCTCTGGATCACCACCGCCGACACCTCCTCCTGCTTGCGCCGCAGCGTGGTGGTGATGGGCTCGTAAGACACTTTGGAAGGGTTGGAAGCCACAAACCTCTCCTCCATCTGCTGTCTCAGGATATCCAGCTCCCCGCTGTCCCCCAGGACGCGTTTGGTGAAGGCAAACAGGATGTCCAAACAGTGGATCCTGTCCCCACTTACCATAGGCAGGTCCATGGCGATGAGTTCGATGGTGTTTGGCTTCGGGACGCGCAGGGGATGCTCCAGGGCGTCGGCGAAGTCCGCCAGCTTGCTGTACTCGATGAACTGCGTGGCGTCGGGGTCGAACTTCTCCCAGATCTCGTAGAAGGTCTCGAAGTCGTCCTCGCTGAGCGGGTCCGCGCTCTCCTCCGTCGCCACGCTGAAGTTCTCCAGGATGATGGCGATGTACATGTTGACCACGATCAGGAAGGAGATGATGATGTAGCTGACGAAGAAAAATATCCCCACCGAGGGGTTGCCGCAATCCCCCTTGAAGCCGCTGCCCGGGTGCTCCTTGTCCAGGTCGCAGTCTGGGGGCCGGTTGAGGATGGGCAGCAGGAGCCCGTCCCAGCCGGCCGACGTGGTGATCTGGAACAAGCAGATCATGCTGTTGCCAAAGGTCTCGAAGTTGAACATGTCGTCTATGCCCGCCTCGTGCTTGACGTAGGCGAAGTTGGACATGCCGAAGATGGAGAAGATGAACATGACCAGGAAGAGCAGGAGGCCGATGTTGAACAAGGCAGGCAGGGACATCATTAAGGCAAAGAGCAGCGTGCGGATCCCCTTGGCTCCCTTGATCAAGCGCAGGATGCGGCCGATGCGAGCCAGGCGGATGACTCGGAACAGGGTGGGCGACACGAAGTACTTCTCGATGATTTCAGCCAGGAACATCCCTAAAGGAGAGAGGCAACGGCTGTGACAGTGGAGATGCACAGGCTGCTGCTTCCTCTGATGGATGGGGCACACGGAATGCCACGAGTGGATCTGCAGAGGGTGTCTGCCATGAAGGGTCTCACCTTCAGGCAGGTAAATCCTCCTGAGGGGCAGCTCTGATCTCTGCTCCCTGGGAGCAGTGAGGGGACAGCTGGAGCTGGGTCACGGGAGGGATAATCAGGAAAAGATTCTTCTCCCAGAGGGTTTTTGGGCACTGAAAATGCTCCCCAGGGAATGGGCACGGCCCCGAGGCTGCCGGAGCTCCAGGCGCCGCGCCCAGGGATGCCCAGGGTGGGGTTGATGGTGTCTGTGCAGGGCCAGGGGTTGGACTGGGTGATCTCTGTAGGTCCCTTCCAACTCAGGGCATTCCATGATTCTGTGATTCTAGGTCTTAACTCAATGCTCTGGCTCCCAAAATGGAGAGGGGAAGAGGCTGGAAGCCACAGACCCTCCGACGTGGATAGGGAAGAGGTTCAGCTACAGAAGGACTCATCCCTCCTCCTCCAAGTTGCTTTTTGGAGGTGTCTGCCCCCAGTGCCTCACCCTGCCCTGGGAGCCATGGGACTCTGCTCTGAGGGTGCTAAAAGTGGGTGAGATCAACCTGATTTCAAGCAGCAGAAAAAACTGGGGCTGAATTTTAGGCTGCAGGATGCTCTGGTGGTTTCTCAGCGTGCCTTGTGCCCTGCCAAGCTTTACTCCCATTCACTTGTGAGGTTGTGCATATTTTGCAGATTAGATGCTAAAAACCTCAAAACCTGCTGGAGGAAACATGGATTTAACATTCAAACAAACTGCAAACAAGATGGCAAGTCCTCTGCTGTGGCAAGGAGCCCTGCAAGGCAATTTTCAGGGGTTACAGAGCATTAAAATATTCTGATGATTAAAATATTCTGAAACTTCAGTTTTTACAGACAGAGCAATTGTCAAGTGGTTTACCCCACACAACTGGAATGTCAGAACAGAGGGAAGGGGCATCAGTCAGGACTTCATAAATAAATTCAGATAAATTCTGCCACGGTGTCTCCCCAAGGCTCAAAGAGAACCCTGAAGTCCTGCTACCTACATATCCCTTTCAAAGACATGTTCTACCCTAAAAATGCCAAAACAGCCTGGCACTCAAACACCTCTAGGTGTGAAAGAGGCTTTACAGAGACTCCTGTGAGCCAGAGAGAAGTTTGATAAGAGGGTCCACGTTTACCCCGAAAGAATTTCCTACCAAGGTCGTCGACATAGAAACCAAGAAAAGGATAAATAAGAGAAATTCCAATGAGCACTTTCTTTGTCTCTCATGACCAATGAGTAAAGTGTAAACTAAGAGTGTTGTAAGAGTGTATAAAAAGCATGCATGCTAAAACAAAAACGGGTTTGAAGCCTTCTGAAATTGCACTGTGCTGCTTTGTATCGCCTCTGCATCAAGCACGAGCTCCGAGCGGTGTCCCACTTACCCACGATGGACAGAATCACAACCACGAAGTCAAAGATGTTCCACCCGATGGTGAAATAGTAGTGCCTCAAGGCAAACATCTTCAGCACGCACTCACAGGTGAAAAAGATGACAAACACAAAGTTGATCCAGTAGAGGATGTCCTCCATCTGCTTGCTCTGAGTGTCTGTCTCCACCATCATGGTCACCATGTTGAGGCAGATGAGCATCATGATGACGATGTCGAAGGCTTGCTGCGTGACGAAGTCGAAGACGGCTCCTTGGATGCGGTTCTGTGCAGCAGGAGAGGCAGGGAACCCGGCGTGAGCAACAGCCAAGCAACGGTTCGGGTTGGAAATGTCCTTCAGACGACCCCATCCCACCCCCTGCCCTGCCCCAGGATGCTCCCAGGGGCACCCACAGCTTCTCTGGACAACCCATGCCAAGCTTCACCACCCTCACAGGGAGGAATTTCCTCCTGATTTACCATCAGTCAACAAATCATTTCACCACTGGTGCAAAGAGGGATAAGGACCTGGTTTTGTCAGTTCTGAACAAAGCTTTCAAGGCAGACCCTGTCCACGAGGCAGACTGCTGAGGACAAAAGCAGGAAAATGCCATGATTTATACCCCAACATGCCACTCCACCCCTCCTAGCAGCACATCTTGCTCTCTGCTGAGCTTCTGCAGTCACAGCTGGGGAAAGCAGCCAGATGCTGGCACCTGCAGGAGAACCCAACACCTCTGGAGTCCTGGCACCACCACAGCCCCAGGAGCAGGATGCTTTACCCACACAGCCCCTAAGGGACTCAACCCAGCCCCCTTTTTGGCTTTCTGAGGGATCCAAAGCCTTTCAGGAACCGGGGGAATGAGCTCAGCTCTCCATCAGCAAAGCCCCCAAGGCCGGGTGATTGCCAAAGGTTCTCCTGGGAGTGCCAGGAGGCTCCTGCTCCACATCTAAGGCCTCTCACCCAGGTGAAGTTTTGGGATTATTTTCCTGATTCAGGTGATGAACTGATTAACACCAAGCCCAGGACAAGTGTTTTAACCTTTGCAGGTGACACCTGAGCTACAGTGACAAGACCAGGGTGGTGAGGGTCCAACATGAGTGAGAACAAGGGATGCTTTTGGAGAAAAAGCTCCTTTGCAATCCACTCCACAGGTTTATCCTGAGCTCCCTCCCATGTACTCACCAGAGGTCGGGGAATGGGTTTTTGAGGCTTCTTTGAGCCCAGTTTTTTCATGGCATTGTAGTACTTCTTTTGTTCTTCTGTCATGAAAATATCTTGACCTCCAAAGTAAAGAGGCAAAAGGAAAACTGGTTACAATCAGAAGCAGAAGGGAAAGGAGTAAACCCCAGCTCAGGTGAGACCTGTCAGGTGAGAGGCTGGTGGCAGCTACTTCAGCCAGAAATAACTCACACTAACACCCAGGGTGCACTGATCTTAATGAAAAATTATTTGTTTTTCCTGTAAATGAGATTTATAGGAAATTAAAATTACCTATAAATTGAAATGTATCAGTTCCATTGCACTGCCTCCTTCCCCAGCCCACTCTCCCCTCTGTGGTGAGCAGCTGTGAGGGCATCTCCAGGAGCTGCACCATGCAAATCCATCCCAAATTAGAGCTCCAGCCCCTCACTTTGGGGTATTCATGGTAGAAACCCAAAATCACAACTTTTTTTTTGAGGAGAAGCAGGATATGAGACAGAGACAGAAGGACAGGCGAGGAAGACATCTTGCTTCCAGTTTGTATTTTAGTCAAGGCATAAAAAAACCCCAAAATGCATGAAAATCTACAGAAAACATTTAATCTGGCTGTAGTTTAAATCAAGGCTTGGGCTGCATGTTGTGCTCAGCCACTCCTGTGAGGCACCAAGAGGCCCACAGCTCTAAAAAAGGAGCTTTGTGCCCCAAAATGACTTTATTTTACAAAGAAAGCCACCAGCCTGAAGAGCCAACAGTCCTGGAACAGGTCTGAGCTGGAATCAGCAAACACAGATCACTTATCTTTTTCTTTTGTTGATTGAAGTTGTCGATGATGACACCAATGAACAAGTTCAGGGTGAAAAAGGAGCCAAAGATGATGAAGATAACAAAATAAATGTACATGTAAATGTTGTCCTCGTACTTGGGCTGCTCTTCTTGCTGAAGGGGAGATAAGAAAAACAACAAACAACATTTCAAAGACATCGTACAGACACAGGCAAAATGAGATTGGTTGTGTTTCCAAACCATCAAAGATCAAAAATCAGTTGGAGTAGAACAAAAAAACCAACCAGAAGAACCTGCCCTTTTTGGGATTTTCTTCAGCATCTTTTAACTCATCAGACCCCAGAGCAAAGGAAACAATCCCGGTGTGAAATACTTGCTACAAACACAATTCTACAACTTTTACTCTTGATTTTAGCAAAGCAAAAGAGCAGATAGAAATAAGGGGAGGGGAGTTTTGCAGGTTACCTTTCTGGAATCTACAGCTGCATACATGATGTCCATCCAGCCCTTGAATGTAGCCTGGCAGAGAAAACACAGAGACAGAATTCACCCAAAATACAAGAATTACACCAGCTCTGCCAGGGACTCCCTAGCACTCCTGATGGGTCTGGATAATAAACTTTAATATTATTTCAGTATGTCTCTTTTAATTTCATCTAAATTACAGAAATCAAGCTCAAGACTTTTGAAATACATAGATCTAAAGGAGATTTTTTTATCCTTCTTTCAGGCCATCTTTAAGATGTCTCATGAGGTTCAACCAGGCTGAGGGTGACTGGGGGACTTGGGGCCCCTTATTGAGACCCGTAAATGAAGAAAGAGAAGAAATATAAAATGGCAAATTCATCCCAGCCCCAACCCCACTGAATGCTGGATTTCAGAGAGAGGGAAGCACAGGAAATGCACCAGAAGCATTTTGCATTTCCAGCCCCTCAGTTTGGGGTATTTTAGAGCTCCCGCCCATCACTTTGGGGTATTTTAGAGGTCCAGCCCATCACTGTGGGGCATTTTAGAGCTCCAGCCCATCACTTTGGGGTATTTTAGAGGTCCAGCCCATCACTGTGGGGCATTTTAGAGCTCCAGCCCATCACTTTGGGGTATTTTAGAGGTCCAGCCCATCACTGTGGGGCATTTTAGAGCTCCAGCCCATCACTTTGGGGTATTTTAGAGGTCCAGCCCATCACTGTGGGGCATTTTAGAGCTCCAGCCCATCACTTTGGGGTATTTTAGAGGTCCAGCCCATCACTGTGGGGCATTTTAGAGCTCCAGCCCATCACTTTGGGGTATTTTAGAGGTCCAGCCCATCACTGTGGGGCATTTTAGAGCTCCAGCCCATCACTTTGGGGTATTTTAGAGGTCCAGCCCATCACTGTGGGGCATTTTAGAGCTCCAGCCCATCACTTTGGGGTATTTTAGAGGTCCAGCCCATCACTGTGGGGCATTTTAGAGCTCCAGCCCATCACTTTGGGGTATTTTAGAGGTCCAGCCCATCACTGTGGGGCATTTTAGAGCTCCAGCCCATCACTTTGGGGTATTTTAGAGGTCCAGCCCATCACTGTGGGGCATTTTAGAGCTCCAGCCCATCACTTTGGGGTATTTTAGAGGTCCAGCCCATCACTGTGGGGCATTTTAGAGCTCCAGCCCATCACTTTGGGGTATTTTAGAGGTCCAGCCCATCACTGTGGGGCATTTTAGAGCTCCAGCCCATCACTTTGGGGTATTTTAGAGGTCCAGCCCATCACTGTGGGGCATTTTAGAGCTCCAGCCCATCACTTTGGGGTATTTTAGAGGTCCAGCCCATCACTGTGGGGCATTTTAGAGCTCCAGCCCATCACTTTGGGGTATTTTAGAGGTCCAGCCCATCACTGTGGGGCATTTTAGAGCTCCAGCCCATCACTTTGGGGTATTTTAGAGGTCCAGCCCATCACTGTGGGGCATTTTAGAGCTCCAGCCCATCACTTTGGGGTATTTTAGAGGTCCAGCCCATCACTGTGGGGCATTTTAGAGCTCCAGCCCATCACTTTGGGGTATTTTAGAGGTCCAGCCCATCACTGTGGGGCATTTTAGAGCTCCAGCCCATCACTTTGGGGTATTTTAGAGGTCCAGCCCATCACTGTGGGGCATTTTAGAGCTCCAGCCCATCACTTTGGGGTATTTTAGAGGTCCAGCCCATCACTGTGGGGCATTTTAGAGCTCCAGCCCATCACTTTGGGGTATTTTAGAGGTCCAGCCCATCACTGTGGGGCATTTTAGAGCTCCAGCCCATCACTTTGGGGTATTTTAGAGGTCCAGCCCATCACTGTGGGGCATTTTAGAGCTCCAGCCCATCACTTTGGGGTATTTTAGAGGTCCAGCCCATCACTGTGGGGCATTTTAGAGCTCCAGCCCATCACTTTGGGGTATTTTAGAGGTCCAGCCCATCACTGTGGGGCATTTTAGAGCTCCAGCCCATCACTTTGGGGTATTTTAGAGGTCCAGCCCATCACTGTGGGGCATTTTAGAGCTCCAGCCCATCACTTTGGGGTATTTTAGAGGTCCAGCCCATCACTGTGGGGCATTTTAGAGCTCCAGCCCATCACTTTGGGGTATTTTAGAGGTCCAGCCCATCACTGTGGGGCATTTTAGAGCTCCAGCCCATCACTTTGGGGTATTTTAGAGGTCCAGCCCATCACTGTGGGGCATTTTAGAGCTCCAGCCCATCACTTTGGGGTATTTTAGAGGTCCAGCCCATCACTGTGGGGCATTTTAGAGCTCCAGCCCATCACTTTGGGGTATTTTAGAGCTCCAGCCCCTCACTTTGGGGTATTTTAAAGGGACAATGGTAGAAACCCAAACTCACAACTTGCAGCAGAGCCAGATATCCTGCCCCAACGTTGTCAAAGTTAATTTTCACATTCTTCCACCGGATCTCCGTGGAGTTGGGTGGCATCAGAGCCTCGCAGTCCGTCTTGTTGTTAACAACATCTATCTCAAAGCGATGCTCAGCTGTTTCATTAAAGCAGTAATGATATTTCCCGGCAAACAGGTTAACCCCCATAATGCTGAAAATCAGCCAGAAGATAAGGCAGACCAACAAGACATTCATAATGGAAGGGATAGCGCCAACCAAGGCATTGACAACCACCTGTGTTGGAAGGGGTGGGAAAAAGTTTCAGTATAAAACACGAGGCAGGAGACAGCAAGCAAAAGTACAGCTGTTTTTGGGGGGGAATGGGGGAGGCCACTGGCATGTCGGGGCGTGGTCCATGCGGAAGCTGGCAGTGAATTTGTTGCAAGCTTCAAATTCTGTGTCAAAGGCAGCTGGGGAGGCTGTGTTTTCAAAATATGGGTTTGTAGTATGATTGTTATAATGTGTATTATAATGTAATTATATGATGTTATAGTATAGTATAGTACAGTAGATTGTATATATTATATATTATAAATTATAAATTATATATTATATATTATATATTACAAATTATATATTATATATTATATATTAGATATTATATATTATATACTATAAAGTATAAATTATATATTATATACTATATATTATATATAGTACAGCACATATTATATATTGTATCTTGTATATTATATATTGTATCTTGAATATTATATATTGTACTGTATGTATTATATGTTGTACATTGTATATTACATATTGTATATTGTATATTACATATTGTATATTGTACATTGTATATTGTACATTGTATATTGTACATTGTATATTACATATTGTATATTGTATATTACATATTGCATATATTATATAATATATACCTATTATATAATACCTCTATATTTCAAAATCATTTCTCTTCTCAAGCCACGTTGTTGGATTTATGGAGTCTGAACTCTCTGTTCTTCAACAAAACAATTATTTTCTGCAATTTCAATTGCCCAAAGGCAGAGGGAGGCTCAGACCGTTGTGACAAAGGCTCCTGATGGAATTTTCCGAGAGCCAAGTGCGAGGACACTTCAGCTCGTGGATCCCAGGGGTTTTCTCAGCCAGTGGCCCCTCCAGCCATTCCCCACGTTCAAACAAGGCTGTTTTCACTCAGGGCCTGGTCCTGCTCCCTGCGGTGGGCTCAGGACCAAGCCCAGCATCACTGTGGTCACACTAAAGCACGGACTAACACCCAGATCATACTGTGCACTAAGCAAGGCCAGTCGTGTAGTCCCAGGCAGAGAGCTGAGCATGCAGCCTGGCAGGCTCACCGGCACACAAAAGCCACGTTCCCTCCTCCACAGGGCAGCAAACGCTCAGGAACCAGGATGGGTTTTGTCAGTGCTCATCTCTTCCTAATTTTAGCCCTTGGTGGTTTTTGGGAGCACCGTGTCCCTCCTGAGCATCCCCAGCCAACACACGGCCAATGTAAGCTTTTAATAGAGGCAGGTCAGCAGGATATTAAATCTTTTATTATGATCTCCTAATTTAGATTCCTTTAATGGATTAACATCATCTGAACTATCTGCCTTGGTTTGTAACTCAAACCACACACGGGGAGTTGGGAGGTCCCAGGGGTGGAACACTGGCCACAGCTTGTCCTGGTCCTTCTCCTCCCCTGGCTGGAAGCCACCACCACCACCCATGGCCACCACAGCCCCTCGTGGCCAGCAGGGACTGAGCCTGGAGGTCTGGGCTGCTGGGAGGTGTCCCAGGGGTGGGACTGGCTGGGTTTTAAGGTCCTTCCCAACCCAAACCAGTCTGAGATAGAGGAGTGAAGGAAAATCGAAGGCCACAGTAGGCCAGATGGTGAACCTTCTGTTCCAGGTGGTAAATGATGTCAGGAATTCATCCCTGCACCCGGGAAGGCACAGGTGAGAGCCCCAAAAGGCTGCAGGTGGATGCCTTTGCTCTCACTCTCTCTTCATCCCAACAGGATGCTCAGCTGCTGGACCAGCAGCACTTTTTGGATCACATCCTCCTACGAATACATTGATTTATCCCAGCTACCACGTGAAGCAAAAAAAGGCTACTGTCCTCCTGAAAGATGGTCATTTATGGCTCATTAAATCCATAATTGGAGCTTTCCAAAAGGAGGAACATGGCTTTTGTGTGCAGACTGACAAGAACACATGCACGTCCCACAGCATCACTACCAAACTCCCTGACCGAGCTCAGAGCAGAGCAAGCTCCTGGAAATGCAGATTGCTATGGAGGAGAGAAAAGCAAAGAACTACAGTTCCAGTCTCCTTTGCAAAGGCATGTCAGATCTCTGAAATTGGTCTGGTTGGATGGGGCAGTGACACTTGTCTCCAAAACAAAGATCATTGGGTCGAGGGAGCTGACGGGGCTGCAGTCGTAACTATCAATGTCCCCGTGGTGAAAATCCCCCACTTGAAGCATGAGAATTTCCTGATTGTACATCAGAAATCTTCTCCCAGGCATGGTTTAAAACCAGCTTTTAGCTTCTCCAGGTTTAGAGCTAGGCCTGTTCTTTGTGATCAAACTTCTGGGTGGGACCCAAACCCAGCCCAGCAAAAGCTCCACCTTTGTGTGAATGGAAATTTTTTTTCCTTTGTGCCTCTGCTGTGGATTCAAATCTAGAATTAAACTCATGACACAAAGAAATAACAGCAGGAGAAGGTCTTAGAGAGGAAACACCTCCTTTGGATTTGGAGCTCAGGTATTTCTGTTGCTTCCCAGGGAGTCTGAGGAGCCCTCCTTAGCTCTCTGCTCCTCTTGGGCTGGATTTTGGGATCAGCTAATCTGAAAAAATCAGGATGATCCAGGTGCAATTGCTCCAGAAAGATCCAGGTGGAATTGCTCCACTCAGACCCTGAAGTAAAACTGTGACTGCTATTCCCTTCCCTTATTATTTAAAATACATGATTTTCTCTCTGGTTATGAGCTAGCTGGGATTTAGCACAAAACCCCACATTCTTGTTCTAAGAGCACCAGGGAAATCCATTGATATAAAATATCCTTTATTTCGTTTTTTTACTACACTTTTTTTTTTTTTTTTTGCATGTTCTTAGGAGACTTTTTCAATCCCAAATGGGGGAAAAAAAAAAAAGCACCAAAATGCCAGAATATTAGTGGCAAAGCAGCCAGACACTGCAATAATTGAAACACCCAAGGGAGTGGTGCCAATTCAAGCTTCTTAAGTTCAATGCTTTGCTTGTGCTTTGTTCTGGTTCCACAGTGACAGGACAGGGACCAAAAAAGCATGGAAAAAAAAGGAAAAGGGGACAGAAAGGAAAAGCTTCACTACCAGACAAGGCTGCCAGTCACCACCAGACTGGACTGAGAACAACAAGGTGCAACAAGAGGAATGAAACCAAAGTTTTCAAAGAGCTGAGCTCCCCCCAGTCCCTTCCTGCAGTGACCCACGAGAGGCAGCAGCCTTTTCCCCCCCTTTTTTTTTAAAAACCCCCTCTCAGACAGAATCTTTCAATCCAATTCCACCAAGAGCCAACACCTGCAGACCCTGAGGGTGGTTCCAATTCTGCTTCTTTGCACCTGGTGATTCTCCCTAGGTTAAAAAAAAAAGTTACAGCTGAGAAGCCCCTCGGATGCTCGAGGTCAAAGCCAGGCCAAATGAGAACAGCCAAGTGTCAACATCGGCTACAAATGGGTGGTTTGGGCCAGTAATTAATGTAATGAGGCAGCTGATGCATCTCCCTTCGTTAGAGGGGAGGGTGCAGCGGTGGGCAGGGTGAGGGTACATCCACGTAGAGGTGATCAAGTCAGCAGCTGCATCATGATTCTGTTTGGAATTTTCTTTCCACCAGTTTTGATCAGTTCTAGCATGCTTTTAAAATAAAATGCTCCACGGGCATGCAGAAGGATCAGCTGCTAATGGCATCTTACCCTCATCCCCTCAAATCGGGACAACGCTCTTAAAGGCCTCAAGGCTCTTAGTGTCCTAAGGGATTTTATGGCACCTAGTTCCGAGTAGCCCAGGGCATTAGCTATAAGGCTGACTAAAGAGACCTACACAGAAAATAGAAAAAAAATAGAAAAAGAAACCAGAAAAAAAAAAAAACAGAAAAAAAAAGGGAGAGAGATCACTGAGAGAGAGAGAGAGGAGAGAGAGAGGCAGAGACACACACGGAGAGGGGCTGTTGGAAGGAAGAGCCCAAACGATGACAAAAACCTTACCCTCGCCCTTTACCGGCTGCAGGGATCCCGGCGGCGCCCATGAAATTTAAGCCAGACAAATGTTAAAGGTACCTATGAGAAAGAATACAGATAAATACACACACTGCACACCTGGGCTGAGCTCTCCAGCACTCTGGGGGTGCTGAGCTTCACCCCAGCTCCTCCTGCCTCACCACCGCAGCGTGGCGGAGATTTTTTCAACCAAATTGGTTGAAGGCGTTCGGAAAAGGTGAAATGAATAATTTGAAATTTTTTTTTGATGGTTGAAATTGTTAAAATGTGATAGTTTTCAACCAAATTGGTTTAAAATGCATGATTTTCTCTCTGGTTATGAGATGGTTTTCTCTCTGGTTATGAGCTAAATGGGATTTAGCACAAAACCCCACATTCTTGTTCTAAGAGCACCAGGGAAATCCATGGATACAAAATATCCTTTATTTAGTTTTTTAACTGCACAATTTTTTATTTTTGCATGTTCTTAGGAGACTCTTTCAATCCCAAATGGGGGACAAAAAAAAAGCACCAAAATGCCAGAATATTAGTGGCAAAGCAGCCAGACACTGCAATAATTGAAACACCCAAGGGAGTGGTGCCAGTACCAATTCAAACTTGTTAAGTTCAACACTTCGCTTGTGCTTTTTAAACCGAATTTCCAGGAAATTTGGTTTTAAACCAATTTTGGGCTGCTGATGAGTGGCAGGATATCACTACCAGACTAGAGAAACTTATTTAAATGCCTCCCATGCAGAACCAGGACGCTGGCACACAAACCAGCTCTTTTTTCTGCCTGCTCTGACAGTGATCCTGTTTTAGAGCTGCTCAAATTCCTGTGCTGAGCTACAGCATTTCTGACCCCTTTTCCAAGGTTTTTCCAACCAGCCCAGTACAGCCCAGTACATCCCAGGGCTTCACCACACGCTGCTGTGGCTGCTGAGGTTGAGACTGGGGGAAAAACCAGGAAAAATCAGGAAAAACGGGGGTGGGATGGGGGGAAATGGGATAAAACAGGATTGGGATGAGAGAAAATGGTCCCCACGCCTGGGGGGTTCCCAGGAATTGCTTTTCCCAAGATTTTTTCCACATCCCAAAACCAGAATTTCCAGTTTTCCCAATTTTTTCCCAACCCTAGCTCCAGAATCCTCCATTTTCCTCCATTCCAGGTGTTTTCTCCCTTTTCCCCATCTCAATCCTGTTCTCCTCCCGTTTTCCCCAATCCCAGCTCCATTTCCCCCTGTTTTCCCTCTTCCCAATCCTGTTCTATCCCATTTCCCCCTGTTTTCCCTCATCCCAATCCTGTTCTATCCCATTTCCCCCTGTTTTCCCTCATCCCAATCCTGTTTTATCCCATTTCCCCCATCCCATTTCCAACATTTTTCCCCCAATCCCAATCTCAGCAGCCACAGGGAAGGACTGGGCTATGCTGGGTTATACTGGGCAAGCTGCTGAGCAGCCTGGACTCAGATCTAAGCTCTAAATCCGAATTTTCAGAGATCCTTAAACCCACCAAGTCCAGACACAACTTGGCCATGTGTAAACAGTTACAGACATGGCACAGCAGCTGCCACTATTTGCTTTTTTGCTACAATTTTTCCCTTTTTGTGGCCACATTTTCCCCATTTTTTGCTACCATTTTCCCCATTTTTTGCTACCATTTCCCCCATTTTTTGCTACCATTTCCCCCATTTTTTGCTACCATTTTTTCCTTTCTTTGCTACCATTTTCCCTCTTTTTGCTGTATTTTTCCCATTTTTCTCCACCATTTTTCCCTACCATTTTTCTCTACCATCACACTTCAGACAGATAAGAAAGAGACATGAACCCTTTTTAAGGAAAAAAAAAAAAATAAAGACATCCATGTACAGCAACAAACAAAAAAACACAGGAGCTCCTCCTGGAACAGGTGGGGTTTCAGGTGAATTTTCAGAATAGGACACTTCCTATGTATAATTTTTTTAATAGAAAATATATTAGATTAATAATTAGAATTAATAGAATTAATTAGAAGGATGATTCTTATTCCACATGTATTTCTGGGAAATATCAAATCTGGATTTTAAATGCATAAATGTGTGGGAAAATTGAGATTTTATCTTTTTTGGGCACATGGCTGATGTGTTTTCTCCACCTTCATATGAAAATCCCCTGTCCACAGCAGGGCACTTGGAATGAAATTATTTTAAGGTTCCTTCCAACTCAAACCATTCCAGGATTCTGTGGTATCTTCCCCAAAAATAAATGGCCACAACAGATTGGTTTTTCCATCCTATTTTAAAATCCCACTACTTTGAACCACGCCAGGGCTGCCCCAAAGGTTCCAACAAAACTTTTGTGAGGCAAAACCAGCTCAGCCAGGGCAACGCCGGTCTGTTAAATATAAATATAAATATAAATATAAATATAAATATAAATATAAATATAAATATAAATATAAATATAAATAGAATTAAACACAAAATCCCGACGGTTTTTGAGACGTGGTCTATTTAAATACCACTGGAAATGTCACACTGGAAGTGTCCCATCCCTGGAAATGCCCCTGGATCCCTGGAAGTCCAGGCCAGGTTGGACAGGAACAACCTGGGATGGTTGAGGGTGTCCCTGCCGCGGCAGGGGTGGCACTGGATGAGCTTTGAGATCCCTTTCCAACCCAAACCATGATGCCACCAACAAAGAATTCTCATTTTTGGAGCTTTTTCCCCCACGCCAGAAAAGGCTGTTTGGAGCTTTTAATAAATAATCTTTGAGGATTATTCCCTGAGGACATTCCAACAGAAGACACAGCAGGCACCGAGGTCGGACAAAGGGAATTCCCAGATTGACTGCAAAGCAGAATCCTTCATTATTACCCAGTAAAAGTCTTCACAAACACACCCAGGAAGCTTTGGGGATGAGGGGGATTGGACAATGCTATAGCAACCTGCAAAACAACATCCAAGAGTGTTGTTAGGATGCAAAGGCTCATTCCCTGCCGCCCTGGCTCGCTCCAGCCCCTTCCACGACACGCCGCAAAATTTGGGTTAAAAAAACGTGATTCAGCAGATACAGGACACCAAGCATTGCTGAGGGCTATTCTGGCATCTCAAAGTCACATTTTGGGTGTTTTATTCAGAGAAAAATGTGCAATTCTTCTGTGAAACCAAGGGAAAAGGGGAGTTTTAAAATTCCTAAAGCCCTGGGAATTCCAAACCCTTCTGCACTCGTTCCCTCTCTGTTCCCTTCCTGCCTGGGAAGCTCCTGATCTTTACTCCACTCTCAGATACATGGGAAGGAAATTAAACTTGAACCACATCTGCCCATTAAACTGGAATCAAACTGGAATTAAATTGGAATTAAACTGGAATTACGCTCGTACTTTGATTTCAGGCGGTGAGAGAGATCCAGAAAATAAATGTATTTATTAATTTACTTCAAAATTGAAATTCATTTATTTAAAATTTGTTTTCTGTCAGGAAATAAAACCTAGAATGTGCAGGTTGTGTCCAAGGAAAGGTGTTGAGGGGATCGGAGAGGATTTTTTTTAAAAATTGAAATTTAAAATTTCAATTTTCTTACAGGAAACAGAGTTTGAGTCACTTCTGTCCCTGAATTCCAAGCATAGTTCCTTCCACCTACTCAGGAATATTTCCAGAGTGATAATGGTGCTGAACAGCAACTGAATCATACACAGAGTGTTCCAAAGGAAAAGCTTGGAAAAACTGGGAATTCTTTTTTAACACACTTGCTCTTGGGGCAGTCACTAGAGCCACTGAATCCCAGATGGATGTGATGAAACACTTTAAAAGGATCCAAGCACTTGGGATTCTAAATTTCCTGGTTCTGAAATTTCCAATTGAATTGCAGTTTTCTACCACTATGGACAGCATAAATTCATTTATTTTAAATTCCCTCGCTGTGCTTCAGAGCCAAATTTATTGTTAAAACTTCTATTGTCTTTTGTTTTTCTTCTAATTCTACAATTTATTCATTTCTTCATTTCTCAGATTCATCCTCCCTCCCAAGATGTTCTGCAGGGGGTTCCAGGGGGGATCTGCCCCTCACTCTACACTGCTCTGAGCTTTTTGTTTGATGTGATCCTGCTTTTTCTTTCCTGTCTCTTTTGAGCAGAAGATGGAAAATGCTGAACCTGATTGTGCACAATGAGCTTTCCAGAGTTGAGGTTCTCACAAATCCAGCGTGCAGAAGTGGGGTGGTGGGACGAGGAGGTTCTGCTGCCTCATCACCCCCTCACCATGAATAATGCAAGGAAATGATTACAGAGAATGTAACTCCCAGAAACATCCCCAAGGAATTCCACATCTGCACAGCTTTCCCGCTGGTGACACCTCCAAACACAGCCAGGTCTCCTAAAAATTCCATTTTCAGCACGGAAAAAAAAAGAGCCAAGGGCTGGAAAAATCCTCCTTGGTCCCTGCAGGGCAGAAATCCCACAACTGCACAGAGGGCTGAAGGGTTTTCTCCTTCATTTGGGAACTCTCAGCTATTGGGATCGATAAATCTGTGACCCACAGGACGTGAGGAGGAAACACCCCAAGCAGAAGGAAGGAGGAGAGGATACATACAGCCACGATGAGGAAATCCAGCCAGCACCAGGCGTTGGTGAAGAACTTGACAAATCCATAGGCACACCACTTCAGCAGCATCTCCAGGATGAAAATGTAGGTGAAGACCTTGTCTGCGTACTCCAGGATGGTCCTGATGGTCTTCCTCTGCTCAATGTAAATATCCTCAAAAGCCTGGGAAATAACAGGTGCAAGTGGCATGAGATGGGGTTTATTGCACAGTTCAGGAGCTTCAAATGACACTGAGGTGAGCTCAATGTACACTTATGGGTGAGTTAAATATATAGGTAAATATATAGATAAATATATATATAAATATATATATATATGACACTGAGGTGAGCTCAATGTACAGTTATAGATGAGTTAAATATATAGGTAAATATATAGATAAATATATATATAAATATATATATATATGACACTGAGGTGAGCTCAATGTACAGTTATAGATGAGTTAAATATATAGATAAATATATAGATAAATATATATATAAATATAAATATATGACACTGAGGTGAGTTCAGTGTACAGTTATAGATGAGTTAAATATATATACAAATATAAATAAATATATATATATAAAAATATAAATAAATAAATATATATAAATATAAATAAAAATATAATTACTTTATATATATATATATATATATAAAGTACATAGATAGATAGATAAATACATAAAAATACATGTATTTCATTTATATATATAAATCAAACACATAAAATTTTGTTCCAGTCACAGGTTGGACCTCATGGTGTTGGAGAGCTTTTCCAGCCTCAGTGATTCTGGGATTTTCTGACCCTCTGAAATCAGACATAGACACAGACTTTTTCCCAGATCCTCACGTTTTTAGTCAATCTAGGATCAGAACCCAGATTTGAAGGCTTTGTTCTTAATTTAAACTAAACTAAAAACACTAATAAGAGCTTGTGCTGTTTTCCAGGGAGGAATTCCCACAGTTTGCTTTTCCCCAAAACTTCCTGTATACAATCAGATGTCCCCAAGCCCAAAACCTCTGAACTGTTGGGGTTTTACTTTCTTTTTTTTTTTTTAATTTTACTCACCAGAGCCCCACTGCTCAGGAGGATCATAAAGATGATGAAAGTCTCAAACCAATTGTGCTCCACAATTAGGAAACAAGTTTTCCTCAAGGTCCACCACGACTTTCCCAGCCCCTCCTCAATATTGACCTGACAACACTTGCAGCGCTGCATACAGCCTGGAACAGGGACAGGACACACTTTCACTCAAGAAACACAGGATTTAAGGTAAAAACATTAAATTCTCACTGTCTAGAAGCAGTTTGGACGTCACCAATATGAACCAGGCTGGGTGAGTTTTAATGCGAGTTAAAATTTTTGTGCTCTTGAGGATTTTAGGGTTGTTTTGCCACTTCTGTGCCTGGGCACCAGAACTGACATCAATTTGGGAACAGATCAGCCCGTTCTATTTGGTGAGGTCCATGCTCTTGAGGAGACAAGTGGAAAACTTGATGATAAAATAACCTTGAACCATTTAAAGCAGCTTTGCCTTGGGAATTCCTGTAACGGATCAGCTCTCGGAAGACATTGAGGCCAGCCACACGAAAGGAAAAGTACTCTGCTTCTGAGTACTTAAGGCATCAGCTGCACAAAAATCATGTTGTTCTACTACAGGTCATCTCTGGTTCTTTAGAAATTCCCCCTCTGAGGGTGGGGAGGCTCTGGCACAGGGTGCCCAGAGAAGCTGGGGCTGCCCCTGGATCCCTGGAAGTGTCCAAGGCCAGGCTGGATGGGGCTTGGGGTAAGCTGGGATGGTGGGAAATGTCCCTGCCATGGCAGGGAGTAAATTTGGAGAAGTTTAAGGTCCCTTCCTACACAAACTATTGAGTGATTCTATGATCTACATCCTAGCAGTGGCAGCTGCATCTCTGAGAGCTTCACTTTGCAAATTGCTCTGAATCAGTGCACCAGCATCCAAGAAGGGCCTCGAGCTAAGCTGAGCCCAGCCCTGAGAGCTAAGCTGAGCCCAGCCCTGATCCAGGCTTGTGGAAGAGGTTTTACAGAGACTCCTGTGAGCCAGAGAGAAGTTTGATAACAGGATCCATGTTTACCCCTGAAAGAATTTCCTACCAAGGTCACTGATGTAGAAACCAAGAAAGAAAAGGATAAACAAGAGAAATCTGCAGCTGCCTATTCCAATGAGCACTTTGTTTGTATCTCATGACCAACGAGTAAAGTGTAAACTTAGGGGTTTTTTAAGAACGTGCAAAAAGCATGCATGCTATAATAAACACAGTTTGAAGCCTTCTGAAAATGGAGTGTGTTGCTTTGTTCTGCCTCTGTCTCAACTACGACACAGGCTGACCTACCCCTGAGCTGAGCTCACCCAGACTGCTCCCCAGAACATCCCCAGAGCCTCTTCCTTCGCTGCCTTCTCACCTTCAGTGAAACAGGCGTCGGGGTCCAGGTACTCCTCCGGTGCCTCCACGGGCACCTCCTCCACCTCAGGCTTTATATCGATGGTGCTGCCCTCAGAGGAGCTGGTCTCGTCGAGTTTCTGCAGCACAAAACCCCACCCAATCAATATCAAATACCAACCCCAAAAAACACCACATTTCATGATAACTCAGCTGTTTGTTCACTTTTATCACTGCCATGAAAGCTGTTTCCTCACTTTAATCACTGAGATCCTGACCCAGCGTATGTCTCATGTTAACAGGACAGGCAGGATGAAATAGTTCCATTATGAAAGGTGTCCCTCTCCATGGAGGGGCTTGGAACTAGATGATCTTTAAGTTCCTTTCAACCCAGGCCATTCTATGATTATATATATTTAACTGTGATTATATATGTATTTTATATATAGATTTGTATTTCTATTTTATATATATTATGCTTTATTTTATACTTTATTTTACTATGATTACATTACATTATTTTACTATGATATACATTTACTATAACTATAGTAAATATATATAGGATATATATTTAGAATATGTAAATATATGCTAAATATAAACATATTTAGTATATATAAATAGTATATATAAAAATATATACACTATATATTTATTAATTGTCCTATGATTATATATCTTTATTTTATGCATGTGGTTATTATATAAGTAATATAGCTTTCTACAGGTACTAGCACAAGGAATTCTGGTTTGGGGGCAAAGACTAGCACAAGGAATTCTGGTTTGGGGGCAAAGACTAGCACAAGAAATTCTGGTTTGGGGGCAAAGACTAGCACAAGGAATTCTGGTTTGGGGGCCAAGACTAGAACAAGAAATGCTGGTTTGGGGGCAAAGACTAGCACAAGGAATGCTGGTTTGGGGGCAAAGACATCCCAACACACACAGAAGTTTAGTGCTGGAGCCACAGAGCTCTCCCTGCCAAGTCTCCAGGCACCCACCCCGAGTGCACGTGGAGCCCCCGTCCCACCTCTTTGCTGCCATCAGGATCCGTGTCGCTGCTGAAATCCTCCGTGTTGAGGTTCTCGAAGTCGGACTCCCCGACGGCGATGGGCACGCGCACGGTGAGGTTGGGGTTGTTGATGAAGGACATGTGGTCCTCGTCGATGATGTATTTCTCCACGCTGCTCCCGATGCCGCTGGTGGTGCCGTTGCCGTTCTTGAGGAAATCGATGTCGCGGTTGATGTCGGCCCCGGTGTGGTTGGCGATGCAGTTCACCTTCTTGTCGTAGAGCTCGTCCAAGGGTTTCACCTCGTCGGCCTCTCTCTGCTTGAAGTGGGCCTGCATGAACTCCCTGACCTTGGCCTTGGTCCAGGCAATGCCCTTCTTGATGCGTATCACCGAGATCTGCAGGTTGTTCATCTCCCCGTCGTCGTCCGTGGCCGCCAGGTTGTCTGCGCTGAAGGAGCTCAGCAGCAAGGCCAAGAACAGGTTCAGCACCTGAAAGGGAAGAGCTGATGCTGGGCTGACACACCAAGGGGGGGATTCCCAAAGCTGAGCAGAGCACTCAGCGCCCACGCCCTGCTGGTGCTGCAGAGCTGTCTCCAAGCACCAGCTCCGGCGTCCCACAAACCCATCCAGGTGCCCAGGCTCAAGGTACGACCCCCTGATGCTGCAAAAAGTTCCCTGGTGCAGTTCTGAGGAGTCCCAGGAGCCCAGGGCAGGTACAGGGGTGCCTGGATGGAGCCCCTTGCAGGATCTGGACTGCAGATGTCAGAGAGAGATTTAATCCCCATGGGATTTAAATTCAGCCTTACTGATTTAGTCCCATCTCTACCTCAAAGAAAATGGGGGAAATCTTGGCATTTTGAGTGATCACTCCCAGCTCTACTTCCTCACCTACATTTAGTGACCATCCCCAAGACTAATTTTATCAAAACCCTTTGGCAAGACAGGACCTCTCAGAGAGAGCTCACAACTACTTTGAAGAATTGCAACTGTTCATGTGACTTCATTCTTTGCTCACATTTTCCTCCACAGCCTTTTCTTCGTGAAATTTAAGGCCAGAAGGAAGCATCATGATCTAGTCCAACCTCCCACACAACAGGCCGTGCAGTTTCACAGCCCATTCCTGCACACAACAGCACCTCATGACTGAGCCAGTGGGCAGGTTTTAGAAGAAACCTCCATTCCTCATTTTAACACTTCAGGACCTTCCCCTGTGCACCGAATTATTGAGTTTTCTGGCAATTAAATTGCCAGTTTTTGCTTCTTTTAGCTTCTCTTTTCCCTCAGGTCAGGTCTGTGCACTTTGAAGCTTTTGTATTTTCAGCTTTCTTGCAAAATGCTTCGTTTGCGGGTGACTGTTTAAGGTCCTCGTCAAGCAAAAAACATCTTTAACATTGTGCTACCAAAATCTACTATTGATAGATCAAAGGCCAAGAGGGACCTCCACAGAGCAGGAACAGACTCACAAACCATCACTCCCTCATCCTGGGGGTCTCCCCAAGTCCTACCCCACCCGGAGGCAACCAAGAAAGCCCATCATTAACCATTTACTGACCACTAAATTTCCGATGACCATGACCATCATGAAGACAATCAAGCACATGGCCTGTCCTGCCACTTCCATACAATCCCACATGGTCTCAATCCACTCCCCACACAACACACGGAAGACAATAAGGAAGGAGTGGAAGAAATCGTGCATGTGCCAGCGGGGTAGCTCACACTCCGGATTGATCTTGCAGACACACTCCTTGTAGCTCTTGCCAAAGAGCTGCATTCCCACCACGGCGAAGATGAACACAATGATGGCCAGCACCAAGGTCAAATTCCCCAAGGCACCCACTGAGTTACCAATGATTTTTATCAGCATGTTCAGAGTGGGCCAGGACTTGGCCAGTTTGAAGACTCTCAGCTACAACAAAAAAAAACACCAAAACAAACAAATGTTAAGCAAAGAGGAAAATAAAGCAGAACTTCCTAAATGACAACCATCTTGTGTTTTACACAAAGTCCATGCTTCTGCTACTGAGGTTACAGAGAGCAGAGAATGCTTAACCTTTCCAGAAATTTGGGCTTGTGTATTTTGTACTTAGTTATTCCCCACACGCAGATCTCCCTTCCCAAAGGAAAAATCACCCCTCCCTGCCCAAATGCAACAAGCTGCTGCTCACATTTCATAAAGAGCAGTCCTGAAGAAAGAAGAGACCACAAAAAATGGCACCACTTGATCTCTGTCCCCGCTAAACCCAGAAAAAGTGATCTTTCCTTGTCCTATGTAAATGGGAAAAATCCCTTATGTGAGGGGAACGGCTGGAGCTGTATCAGGGAAGGGATAGGTTGGATATTGGGAAAAGGTTCTTCCCCTGGCTGGGCACTGAGCAGGGTCCCCAGGGAATGGTCACTGCCCCAGGGCTGCCACAGCTCAAAGGATGTCTGGACAACACTCCCACGGATGCCCAGGGTGGGATTGCTGAGCTCCTGTGCAGGGCCAGGAGCTGCACTAGAAGATCCTTGTAGGTCCCTTCCAACTAAGGCCATTTCATGATTCTGAGATTCTAAGCTTTGTGGTAGCTCCACGATAATAACATTGAAAAAGAGCAGGAATTTGGAATACCAATCGGAAAGATCGCAGCACGGAAAGTCCCTCCACATCTGCCAGACTCAGCTCCATTAAACTCAGGGAGACAATAAACCCATCAAAGATGTTCCAGCCTTCTTGAAAATAATAGTATGGATCCATTGCAATGAGCTTCAGGAACATTTCTGCTGTGAAAATCCCAGTGAAAACCTGGAGCGGGGAGGAGAGACAGACAAAGAACAGGCAAAGAGTCATTTTTAGCTTATTTTCTCCTCTCCAGGCTAAGTCTCAACAATGCAATTGATTCAAAGTCCAAGCCCACATCAATAATCCAGGCACCCCAGCAGGAGCAGACCTGTGGGGAGTATTTAGCAGATTTCCTTACCAGATTTCCTACAGAGAGCACGTGCTCGAACTCGGGGGTCATGGGGTGGTGCTCCATGGCCATGAACAACGTGTTCAGCACGATGCAGATGGTGATGGCCAAGTCAACAAAAGGATCCATGACAATTAAGTTCACAATCTCCTTCAGCTTCATCCAGTAGGGGTGGCATTCCCAGATCAGGAAGGTATTGGCAAATTTGTACCAGCAAGGGGGACACTTCCTCTGGGACTCTTCCAGCTCTGCAGGTACAAAACAAAACAGAGTTCAGGCTTCGTCTCTGAGGCTGAAGAATTAAAACACTGAACTTTGTGAAAATGGCCACGGAGGTGACACGAGAGAAGAGCTGGGTCAAGTCTGTGGGCAGGCTGGACATCAGGGAGAATGCTCAATGGAAAGGGTGATCAGGGAGCTTTGGAGTCCCCTGGGCATGTCCAAGCAGTGACAGGATGTGGCACTCAGCACTCTGGGCTGGGTGACAAGGGGGGGATTGGTCACAGGTGGGACTCAACGACCTTGGAGCTCTTTCCCAACCTCAAGGATTCCTGGATTCTGGGATTTCATTATTTTACCGAGCTCCATGGCTTCTCCTTTGTCCCTACACAACACCTGCACCAGGTCACCATAACTGCAGCTCTAACCCTGTGCTTCAGCCCCACCAGGATGATTCAATGCAAATTATTCCAAATGAAGGGCTATATTTAACTCGGAACTGATCAAGGTAAAGCAGTTAAAAGTTACAGATTCCAAACTGCCTTTGCTGCCAGTTTTTAAATAACTGAGATGAATTCTGTGCTGAACACAGACGTGGTCTAAAAGAGGAAAGAGGTGACATAATGCTGCAAAGGATTTTCAACAGGAATAACCTGATTAAGACTAACTACATTCATTTACAGAAATCAAACACAGAAATGCTGTGTCCACCTTTTTTTTTTTTTTTTTCTTTTTTACACTGGCCTATCTCAAGTGCTTAGGAAAAAAAAAATACAAATGAGGAGTTGCCCCCATTTGTTGACTTGCTGGTTCCAGTCAGGCCGTGCAGCTGTGCACCCTCACCTTTTATTTTTTAGGGGAAGGGAAAGGACCACTGTGCTCTCCTTCCCATTGGTTCTCTGGTTGCTTAGTATTTAGTTGCCTTGGAATTTCTGAAGTTAAAAAGAGGCCCGTGGCACTGGAGCCCGTAGGCGTTTGCGCAGGAGGGGAGCGGCAGCAAAACCCTGCTCTGTTTCTAAGTATATTTAGTTTTCCTACAATTTTCTTGCAGGAGACAGCAGGAATTTGAGATCATCAACCGCATGTGGCTGCTGTTCATGAATTCTTGCTGGCTCCTGCATGACATATTGGGAAATCTCATCTTCATGTGCTGTCCATTCCAGAATTCCCACCAGCCAACAGCCCCTTTCTCTTCTGACAGCTGTCACAGCTCCCAGTGCAGCTCCAATCCTTCTCTCCTACAGCCTGGAGCAAAGGAAGGTCTCTCCAGTGCTTGGAGATGACAGAACACCCGGACCTGACACTGCCTTACTCCTCTGATCTCCACACTGCACTCTCTTCATTGTAAAGTTACAACTCTTTTGTCGCCTTTACCTCCATCTCTGTGCAATTCGGATGCCAAAACCAAGGAAAATCAAGTCTAATAAATATTTCTTTATTAATAAAGACCCAAAAGAAGCAGATTTAGGCAAAACCATGCATTAATATGTACTGCTTTAAAGCAGGGGGAGCTGAATTCCACTAGATCAGGTTGCTCCAAGGCTTGCCCAACCTGACCCTGGACACTTCCAAGAATGGGGCAATTTCTCTGGGCAACCCCACCCTCACAGGGAAGAATTCCTTCCCAGCATCCCATCCAGTGGGAAGCCATTCCCTGTGTCCTGTCCCTCCAGCCCTCTGTCCAAAGTCTGTCTCCAGCTCTCCCGGAGCCCCTTTAGGCACTGGAAGGGGCTCAAGAGTGCCCCTCTAATCCCCGAATCACACCTACCCTCAACAAGGGTGTTGGTCAACCCAGTCATGACACTGTTGGTCCGATCCTTCCTTCCATAGGACGCGTTCACCTGATCCATTGAGACCAAGAGAGACCCACCAGGCTTCTTCCTAATTTCGATTTCAGTGGTACCCTGAAAAATTCAGATGGTGATTAATACAGACTGGAGTCTTCTCTCTTACCCACTCTGAGCCCAGAAATGCAGCACTCAGTCTGCATTTCCATACTCTGTGTTTTCTATATTCTGTGTATCCCTCTGTCCTTCCCACCTTCTTACAACATGCAAGTGGCCCAACCAAAACTCAAGCCCTTTTTTCTGTTGGACCAGTGCTCTGCAGCCTTAGACAAATTACGGACTGTATTTTACAGAACATTTCTAATTACATACAACGTCATTAATTCTCTGTACAAGAACCAAAGAGATGGGCATCCTGGTCAGACCACACTGGTCAGACCATGCTGTCAGACCAAGCTCATCTGACCATGCTCAGCAGACCATGCTCAGCAGACCATGCTCATGTGACCAGACCATGATGACCAGACCATGCTCAGCAGACCACACTGGTCAGACCATGCTGTCAGACCAAGCTCATCTGACTATGCTGGTCAGACCATGCTGGTCAGACCATGCTCAGAAGACCAGGCTGGTCAGACCATGCTGGTCAGACCATGCTCAGCAGACCAGGCAGGTCAGACCATGGTGGTCAGACCATGCTCAGCAGACCACGCTGGTCAGACCATGGTGGTCAGACCATGCTCAGCAGACCACGCTGGTCAAACCACACTCATTTGACCACACTGCTCTGACCATGCTTGTCTGACCAGACCACGCTCAGCAGCTACCTCGGGCAGGATGCGGCCCCCAGGCATGCTGGAGGGCGGCCCTCCGATGAGCGACACGACGCCGTTGCAGTCCACGGTGCTGTTCCTCTTGATGCTGCGGCGCAGCGTGGGGAAGATGCGCGAGGAGCGGCTGCCCTGGCTGTAGCCGCTGTAGCCGCTGTAGCTGCTGCGCCGGTCGCGGCCGCGGATGGGGATGAAGAGCGAGTCCCTCCTGCCCTCGCTCTCCTCCACCGTGCTGTGCTCGTCGTCGGCGAACTCGTTCTCCGAGCCCGGGTCGCGGAAGCGCCCCTTGTAGCTGAAGATGCTGCTCTTGCTGTTGTGGCGGGAGAGGAAAGGGGAGCCCGGGATGCTGAGGAGAGACTGGGGGAGCAGGGGAAGGACAGAGTGAGTGGAAGGTGGAAGAGTTATTTTTTAAGGTGGGGAAATTATTATTTAAGGTGGGAATTACTATTTCGGGTGGAAAAATTATAAAGAAAGGCCTCTCAAAATCAGGCCTTCTATCTCTGATTTTAGAAGTCATTTCTTTCTTTTAGAAGCCAATTCTTCTTTCTTTTAGAAGCCATTTCGGGAAAAATTATAAAGGCCTCTCAAAATCAGGCCTTCTATCTCTGATTTTAGAAGTCATTTCTTTCTTTTAGAAGCCAATTCTTCTTTCTTTTAGAAGCCATTTCTTCTAAGCCAAGCTGGCATTTTGCATTTCCCATGTGAAAGCAATCCCGTTGTGAGCAGTTTGTTAACTAATTGTTAAATGTTAACTAATTGTTAAAACAAATTTATTGCTGGGTCACAAACAACTGGCACCTGTGTAAAGTGTTTAGATAGAAACTACACTGTTGGACTTAACTCTACACTGTTAATTAGAAAAATGGAAATGATCTCTCACAAACAAGGGTTTGAGTGACCAATCCGTGCATTTTACAACATTTACAACTTTTATTAACCAATAAGTAATTGGCAAGGATCTACTGACCAAGTGGAGTGCCACACGAGGTCTGTGAAACGGAATAAAAACGGAGTTAGGGGAATAAAAACCAGCTTTTTCCACCATGAAGGAAATGGAGTGCCGTGTGCTTTACCCCCACAGTGAGGAGGATGGGCACAAAGCCCTGCTGGGTGGTTTCCTACAATCACTCAATGGCTTGGTTTGGTTTGAGAGGGACTTTGAAGATTGTCCAGTTCCACCCCTGACCATTGTGCCTTGTCCAACCCCTGGACACTTCCACGGACGGGGCAGCCACAGCTTCTCTGGGCAACCTGTTCCAGGGCTTCCCCACCCTCACAGAAGGGGAATTTCTTCCCAGTATCCCATGCAGCCCTGTCCTCTGCACTGGGAAGCCATTGCCACTTGTCCTGGCACTCCAGGTGCTTGTGAATGGCCTCTGTCCATCTGTTTCCCTCCCTCTCCACCCCTCACTCCTTGGCTGCACCGTGAGAGCTGCTCGCTCCTGGCTGGTTGAGCTGTCTCAGTGGAGGAGTTACCTGGCTGGATTCTTCAGGAATAATTCCTGCCAGGGGAAGTGTGTGTGAGAGTCATCAACTCGGGCTCTAAGTGTTCTCCTGACCCAACACAGTTTAGGACAGCGGGCAGAACCCTTGAGATGCCAACAGGAACCTAAAGCAGAATATTATCCTGACCCCAACCACAAACATTAGTGAAGGAACAGAAAACTACCTGGTTCATGATGGAAAACTTCCTTCCCAGCCTGTTATCTGGCAGCCTGAACGCCTTCCTCCTCATGCCATCCTCGGATTCCGACTTGAACACCTTCTCATTGTCACACTTCTCATCTCCTTCCGACAGCTCCTTGTCCTTCCGCTTCTTCCTCCTGTTCCGACGCTCCTTGGCACTCTTGGAACTGAGCTTGGAAATCTCCGAGGAGCTCCGAGACATCCTCCCCCCACCATCATCCTCCACAGCATCTTCAGACACCGTCCCTGCCGAGGTGACCATGGCAGCAGCCTGAGGGTGCAGGCAAAGGAAGGAAAAAGAAATCACATCTTTCCACCATCAATGCTCCATTTTCTGCTTGAAGAAAGAGTTTGGCTTAATGCGATTTTGGGGCAGGATTGAGATGTTTATTCTCTCCTTGGAAGACACTTGTGGCCAGAATTTCTTAGAATTTTTATAGTCTGCTTGTGAAGGTAGTAAAATCAGCTTCTCTGGCAACCTGGGCCAGGGCCTCACCACCCTTACGGAGAGGAATTGGGTTTTTTTTCTCACCTGTGCTTCCTCCTGCTGCTTTTTCAACTGTTCCAACATGGCCTTGAATTCTGCCTCCTTCTGCTCTGCCTCCTCCAGGGTGGCCTGGTTCTGCTCCTCGTAGGCCATGGCCACCACAGCCAAAATCAGATTCACCAGGTAGAAGGATCCCACAAAGATCACCAGCACAAAGAAGATCATGTAGGTTTTTCCTGCCGCTCGTAAAGTCTGAAAGTGGAAAAGAATGGCAGTGGGATTAGAAAAGGGGAAAAAAAGCAACTTCAGGATTCCCTGACATGAGATGCAAGAGCTGATCCCAAGTTTCTTGACCTGAATTTCTAAGAAAATCCAACAGTGCTGAATATTCCAGAGCTCAGCACTTCCCCTGCACATTCCTTAGCCATGAACACAAAAGGTGACATCCACCTTCTTCCCTTAAGGGAGCATCCAAACTGAAAAGAATTCAAAGGCACAGTGTGAAACCCAATGCTCAGACTCCCTTAAAACAAACCAAATCCAGAAAAAGCTGCTTCAGCAAGGTCCCCAAAGCACCCTCAGGTCAGGAGAAAACTCTGTGCCCTCCAAAGAGCCTGAGCACCCTCTGTGAGCAGAGCTGAATGCTCACAGCCTCCTGCAGCCAGTGCTGAGTCTCCTCCTGAATTAATTCACAGCTCAGCTGGACCCACCATCCCTTCTGGACCTCAAGTCCAACTCCTGCTGACAGGCAATGTCCCCTTCCTCCCCCCAAAAAAAACCTCACTGTGGAGCTTTACTTGCACTCTTTTCGAAAGGAATAAAACAAAGCTTCTCACATTTCCCTTCCCCGTTCTACCCCCAAATCCTCCCCACGTACAACACCAAAGGAAAGCGTTTACTCACTAATTGATACAAGTTTTCCCAAAAGTCCTGAGTCATAAGGCGAAACAAAGCCAGGAAAGCCCAGCTGAAGGTGTCAAAGCTCGTGTAGCCGTAGTTGGGGTTCCGTCCTGCCTTCATGCACGTGTACCCCTCTGGACATTGGCTGGGGGGGGACAACAGCCAGGTCAGGGCTCTCCCTGCTCACTGCCACCACTCTCCCAACAAAAGCAGCTCTTTCCACATCATTTAAGGACAGCATTTCAGGAAAGCCCTGCTCTCCCCGTCCTGTGGAAACGAGACACTGCGAGGTGCAGCTTTTCCCTAAGCCTGAGCCCAAGGCAGGAGCTTGGGCCAGAAGGGTCTTCAGAGCTGAAGGTCGGGGTGGAAAACCAACAGCACGTGGCAAGTTCACATTTCTGAGCCTCCATCCACCCTTCTCTGATTGGATTCAGAGGGAAATAATGTCACTGGCAACCACTGGTGGCCAGAGCTGCCCCCTGACAGGGAAAATGTCCCTTACATTGCATCAGCAATGGATTCATAATTAGGTTAAGAAATTTGAAACCTGGTGAAATAACACCAGAACCAACAGAGGAAGCAACAGGGAATATTCCAGAGGTTTTGCCAGATTTAGGTAACATCAGGGACAGCTGATTGATTGTTAATGAAGCTCAACACTCACCCTGCATCTGAGCTGTTACCACAGAGCAAAGGGTCGGGGGCGCCAGGAATGATGTAAAAATTTGCTAAAGATGAAAAAGAAGAGGTTACATTCACACACATATGGAGTTAGAGGATTTAAGAGACTATAACACCATTAAAACCTTCACTTAAAAGCTCCCCAAAAAGCACTGCTGAGAAATTTATGAGTAAAAATATATTTTGGACTAACTATTTAGCCAAAAGAGCACATCCAAACCCTTCCAAAGGATGAACTCAACTAGGAACATCTCAACAAGGTCAGATCCAAAAAGAAAAAGCCCTGAGAAACTTCTGCACATGGGGTTTTCACTGTGAAAACCAGACACAGCACAGCATGAAACATGTTGGAATTCCTGCACTGAGCCAAGTCAGGAGGTTTTAGGGAGCTTCAGTGTAGAAATACCTACACATATTGTTGGTGTATTCCTCCCAGTCAAAGCCCCTGGAGCCATTATCCAGGAAGGTCTCGTTCACATTAATTGGCCAAATCACACACTTGTTCCTTAAATTGCCCATGAACAGCTGGAGCCCAATGAGGGCAAAGACACTGAGACAGAAAACCGTCAGGATCATCACATCCGACAGCTTCTTCACGGACTGGATCAGGGCACCCACGATGGTCTTCAAGCCTGTGGAGAAGGAAATAAGACTAGAAATCACTCCTGCAGAAGGAAAACACGCTGAAAATCCAGATTAATACAGTACCTTAGAGTGACTCTGTGGTGGGAAAGGCTGTGGCTATGAGTGGTGGAGGTTCCTGGGATTTCCAGCCAGTACAACACTGGGATGGAGGCAAGGATGGGTCAGAACAAACCAAATCCCAACATTTGTCCCTGAGAGTGCCTGAGCCTCGTAGCAGGACTGCAGAAGGTGGGGAATCAGTGCTCCTCCACACACACAAGGTTTGTCAAACGAGGATCAAATTGGGATTTGCTGCCACGAAAATCCTCGTGGACATGTTGAGCCGTGTTCGAGCCGAGCTCGCTGGCACAGGCTGCAACAACTCACAGAGATCAAATACCTTTAACTCTCCACGTCTTGGGTTTCTCCTGCTCAACTGAACTACCTCAGCACTTCCCCTCCCTTGCAGGAGCACAATCTTCCCTTTCAGAGGTGGCTTTGGTTACAGCCAGGGCAGGGCTTCACCCACAGCGTCGGTGCTTTGGGATTTACTGAGGCCACCGGGATCATTAACAGGCTCAGGATCAAAAATAAGAAATTCCCAAAGGAATCCTGCTGGTTTCCTACACCATTCTGGTCTGTGAGAGGCAAAACTCATGAGTGGGGAGAACTCAGAATCAGTTTTTAGGCGACGGGTCTAAACTAGCTAGAATTCTGGATGCAGAAACAGCACGGAATTGGGTTCTTTTAGTCACTCTTTCTGGTGTGAAGTAGGATGATTCTGTGGTTTATAAATGAGCAGTGAAGGGAAGAAGGAGAAAAAAAAAATAATAAATCACTGCTGGATTTGGGGTCAGTCAGATCTAAGGTTCCAGCTGAGACCACATGAACATTTTGCAATAAATCCTGGAGCAGAAACCTTGGTCCCTTCCAACCTCCTCCTACAAAACCCTTGTAAGCCAACAGAGGTTAGACCCATCCCAGGAACACAAACCTTCCAAAACAAACAGTTGCAGCCACATTCCTTATAAAAAATCCTATTTTGAAGTGTCATTTACCCCCACCACCCAAACTTTCCATGGATTTTCCAAGACAGAGCAGGATTTTGCTGTTGTGGCAGACACATCACCCCCAGCACCTCTTGCCATGCTCATCCCACGGCTCTGCCCTGCACATGCACCCACGGGCACCAACACCTGGGCTCCTGCTTTTGGGTGCTGCTCTCTCTCAGGTGTGCCAGGAGAAGTTTGGAACCAGGACAGGACTGGCAGCAGGACAAACACAACTCCAACAACTCCCAGCTGCAGCCACCACCCCGTGCTCCGCGGGTCCAGGTTTCCCTGGATCCTGTGGAATGCAGGTGTGGCCCAGGTGTGTCCCCACCTGGCAATTAAAATATAAGAACTCACGTGCCAATATGGAAAATTTCTTGAGACCATCAGGGTTTCATACAGGTTTTCCAACCAAAAAAAAGGGATATTTTGGTGGTTTAGCTCATGGGAGTCACAGTTTGCCCATGTCACACAGATCCATAGAATTTTGTCTGTGGCGTGTCAAATTCTGGTGGTATTTCCCATTTTTATCTTGTCTCAAACACATCTTAATCCCAGTTATTGACACAAGGTGTAGATGGCACTCAAAACACTAAAATGAGCTCCTCAGTAGCTCAGCACAGAGTTAAAATTCCCATTCCATGTGCTGAAGCAGAAAGGGAGCCCCTTTGTATTTGAATATTGAGTGCATTCTAAAAATCACCTTTTCCTTGCAAAATGACAGTGGTAAAACCCATAAAGAGCACTTTATGCTTTCAAATTAAATAACCCAAAGGCCAATTATTCAAATGCTTTAGACTCCTCCTGCTGTCACAAAATGGAGGGGGCCAAGATGTGTCCTGCAGAAACACACTTGGACAATCCTCCCCCAAAACCCCCAAGTTTTTGCCATTTCAGGTATGATCAGTGTCCCCAACACCCAAACAGGATCCCCTTGGCTATGTGTGGCAAACCATCCCTTTTATTCAATCAAAATACGCAGCAAATTGTCCCTCTGATAAAAAATTACATCAAAAATGTGCTGAACTTAGCAGGGCTCAGCCCAACCCCTGCCGTTTGAAACAAAACTCCTTAAGTTTTGAATTCTATGGAGAGAATGATCCAAAACTGAGCTGTTCTGTCCCCTCCACGGGAACACAAGGCATGCTGTCACACAGCCAGCAACCAGCTCCTGAAAGCTGCATCATCTCCACGTTGCTACAATTAAGAAAAGCAGAACACAGGCAAAACTGGTTTTAACATCAATGCTTCTCCTCTGAGCACGCCAGAGCTCTCTGGAGCAGGCTGAGAGAACGACAACCACCCCTCAGACCCACTGCTGACAGCAATTCCCAAAGGTCTTTTGCTCTTAAACATCAATATATATTATTAAATATAGATATAAAATATCTTAAATATTCCAGATATGAAGGAAGGCTCAGTAGGAGCATCAGTCCAGCATGTTCTCACTGGGTGCAAGGAAAGCAGGTGCCACATAGCAGCATCACAACCACCACCACCACCATCATCATCATCATCATCATCATCATCATCATCATGCACAACAGGCAGGTACAGCTGATGGGGTTGGCAGTCTGGGATGGGACAAAAGGGATGTGCCCTACAACTCAACAATTCTGAGACAGAACCGGCACTGCAGGATCAGGGAATGCAGGAGGGAACAAACCACAAAGGAACTGAGGCCAAAACTCATCGAGGAGTGAAAGCAAAAAGCTGAAGATGTCTGAGTGCCTGTAAGACCTGAGGCCTGAGCTTAACCTCAGAATTAGGTGCACTTTTGAGAAACCATGGGCATGAAGCTTTTCTGTACAAGAATTCAGGATCAGGAAGTGTTCCAGGCCAGGCTGGACAGAGCTGGGGTTAAACTGGTCCAGTGGAAGGTGTTCTTGCTCAGGGCAGAAGGTGGAACAAGATGAGCTTTAAGGTGCCTCCCAAACCAAACCAGACTGGAATTCTGGGATTCTCAGTCCATAATGTCCCCATGGTGTCCCAAAGGAAGGGCCACTGCTCACCCTGTGACACCCAGCTGAGTTACAAGTCCAGCAGCAGCTTTGGGAAGGGTGGTCCTGACAAGTCCAGCTCTGGGGTCGCACAGGAAATGGGCAAAAAGGTTTTAATCTTAGTTGGGTTTTGCTCTGTTGCTTTATAAAATTATTCCTAAAGCAACTCCAAAAACACTGACAATAACAGGGCGAGTCCCTGAGGCAGAAACTGCTCAGCCCGAGGAGGAGCCTGATCCTTTTCATCTGGAATTAAACTTTAAAGCCTGGCTTTAGTCTCAGAGATCAGTACGAAATGTGTGTACAGACAGAAAAATATGGAGTAACAGCCTGTTCATCCCATAATTTGATGGCCCAGGAGCCTGGATTTCAAACTGCTTTGTTACACAGACTGCAAATCCCATGCAAAAAACCCCAGTGCCATTTCTGAGGAATGAGCAGTGCAGGAGGGGAGGGGAAATACAGAGAGGAGACACACACACAAGCCCAGCCTCGAATGCTGAATGGTTCTCACCTGGAATTACAGAGATAGTTTTCAAAGCTCGGAGAACTCTGAAAGTTCTCAATGCTGAGACATTCCCAAGGTCCACAAACTCTGTGACATATCTGCAATGAGGGAGGTCACACACAAAAAACACCATGACAATACACACACCAAAATCAAACAACAACTACAGACAAAGCAATACGTCACTCACAGGGGCCTGTACCCGACAGCTAAACACCAACCGGGGCCGCCTTACCTGGAATTACAGAAATAGTTTTCAAAGCTCTCAGAACCCTGAAAGTGCGCAGAGCTGAAACATTGCCTAGGTTTACAAACTCTGTTATATACCTGCAGAATTAAACCAGAGTTAATGGCACCGTTGGGGTCGCCTTCCTTTGCATAAAATTGTCTGCTTGTAGGAAACAGCTTGTGATTTAAAACGCTTCAGAAGTGGCATTTGGAAAGAGAGAGAGAGAGAGAGACAGAGGTGCGGGGGTAAAACGTGCTTTAAGTCTCTCTGCTCCTCAAGCAGCTTGCCCGGGTACATGGTTGGATATCCATCCTCAGCTGGAATCATGGAATGTCCTGTTGGGAGGGACCCCAAGGATCATCCACTGCAGCTCCTAGTCCTGCACAGACACCCCAAAAATCCCACCCTGGGAGCAGCTCCTGGAGCTCTGGCAGCCTCAGGGCTGTGCCCATTGCCTGGGCAGCCTGGGCAGTGCCTGAACCCCCTTGGGAGAAGAATCTTCTCCTGATTTCCCTCCCCTGGCAGAGCTGCAGTGCTTCCCTCGTGTCCTGGCCCTGGTCAGAGGGAGCAGAGATGGGAGCTGCCCCACAGGATGAAGCTGCAGCCCCCAGTGAGTCTCCCCTCAGTCTCTTCTCCAGCTGAACAGCCCCAGAGCCCTGAGCCACTCCTCCAGAGCCTGCTTTGGACCCTCTCCAACAGCTTCAGATCTTTTTCATGTCATGGTGCCCCAAACTTCACACACTCCGAAGGAGAATTTGGAACTTTGAACCTCTGCAGAAGAAGGCAGTTGTAAAAATGCCAATTATTTGAGATTTTGGTGACATCACCCTGAGCAACTCGGGCTGGGGGGAAATGTCCCTGCCCAGGGCAGGGGATGGGACTGGATGAGCTTTAAGGTCCCTCCCAATCCAAACCAATCCATGATTCCATGACTGTACCTCAGATCAGGGGTTTCAGGTACATTCGCTTCACTTCATGTTTTTAAGAAAACATAATCATCTTCTGCTTTGATTAACATCCTTCCATTTAATTAGCATCCTTCATTTTAATTAGCATCCTCCATTTTTAATCCTTTATGCTTCAGTGTCTGTTTGTGAGCCACAGGAAGGTTTGATTTTTCTCCCCCAAGGTACACAGGGGAGAAGAGGCTTGGGGCAAAGTAACAGGAATTATATTTTTATTATATTATAATATTTAAAATATTATATTATATTTTACCCCAGCTTACAGAATATTTCCTCTGTGCTGCGTGGGGAGAAACTTGGTATGAAAAAGCAAAGAAATGCTCAACAAGATTTCAAGATTTCTCCTGCTGCAGAAAGGCCTCAAGGGCTTTAAAAAACCTCTCAGTGTGGTTTAAATGATGCCCTTGACACAAAAAGAATTGTACAGAGCCTACAGGTAAAGCCTGGCCTCTGGAAAGGAAAGGGTTACAGACACCAGTGAGGGATTTGGGACATTCCTTGCAGACCAGTGCCTTAAAACTGGTGGGATTTGGTAATTTCTGGAGAAATGAAGGGATTGGTAAGTGCCAGGTGGGATTTGGTCTGTGTGCAGCCACACTGGGAGCTCACACAGATCCTCACCTGCTCTGGGGTAAAACTCGGGTTTTGGGAGCTCCTGGGTGTTGGTTTTCATGGACAACACTCAATTCTTTGGTTATAATTTAAATAAACAACTGAAAGGAAGGAAAACGCGAAATCTCGGGAAACTCAACAATCTTGGGCGAAGAAAAATATTATTAACTATTATTAAATATTATTAAATAAATAGTAAATATTATTAAATATTATTAAATAAATATTAAATATTATTAAATATTATTAAATAAATATTAAATATTATTAGATATTATTAAATATTATTAGTGCTCTGAAGCCTTGGAAATGCAGCTCCTGAGCCTTCCTCTGCGATCTCTGCTCCATCAGAATTTGGTGAATTTGGGAGCCCGAGCTTGCCACATGCAATACTCCCAAAATAAAGTGTGAAAGGGCAAAAAGATTTCTTCACCAGCGACTCAGATTAGCAGTGACAAAGACCACGTGTCCATCAGCAGGACCAAGTCTGAGCCAGGATCAGCTCAGGGCAAAAAAAAAAGGAAAATATGGAAAAAAGCAAGAATTTAGGGTGTGTTTCCTGATGTGACTCAGACAAGCCCATGATCCTCAGTATCAGCCCAACCCAGCACAAGAGAAAAAAACAAGGAAGGAAAATCAAATGTCTCCTTTCTGACCCTGCAGCTTCATGGGTTAAAATGGCTTATTAACAGGTTATTAATGGGCTAAAATGGCTTGTTAACAGGTTATAAATGGGCTAAAATGGCTTATGAACAGGTTATTAATGGGTTAAAATGGCTTGTTAACAGGTTATTAATGGGTTAAAATGGCTTGTTAACAGGTTATTAATTGGCTAAAATGGCTTATTAACAGGTCATTAATGGGTTATTAATGGGTTAATCACAGTCCAGCCTCCAGTCACAGCCCAAGGAAGGAGTGCTAGAGACTGGAATTTAAAGATGTTGGTCCCTCTGCTGATCTGCCCCTCTGGTGAATCACCTCAAACCTTGTATTAATCAAGGAAATTTCCAAAAAAACCTATTTTTTAAATTTTTTTTTTTTGCACTAACAACTCCACCAACTCCGTGCTGCTGCAGCTCAGAGCTGAAATCCCACCAGGCTAAAAACTTCCTGGGACAAACCAAGGGGGTTCATTGAAGTTTTCCTCGATTTTTTTCTTTTTCCTTGTAGAACTTTCCCTCCGGCCAAGGCCTCGTCCCCTCCCTCCCGGCACAGAAATCCCAGGAAAAGCACAACTCACGCCATCATGATGACACTGAAATCCAGCCAGTTCCAGGGATCCCTCAGGAAGGTGAAGCCATCTATACAGAAACCTCTGGCGATGATTTTCACCAGCGATTCGAACGTGTAAATCCCGGTGAACGTGTACCTGCGGCAAGGAGGTGTTGGTTTAGTAGTGGGGGAAAAAAGTGGATTGTGGGTTTTGGTTTAAGTAAAAGGTTTTCAGGGATTTGAAAAAAAAATAGCCTACAAAAAAAAAAAAAAAACAAAAAAAAAAAACTAAGCAGCACAAAAACAAAAACAAAAAAAATCCCATTAAAAAAAACAAAAAATAACCAAAAAATACAATACTCAAAATAAAACAAATTTAAAAAAAAAACCACAAAAAACCACAAAAATCCCTTAACCAGAACAAAAACCAAAAAAAAAAAAAAAATCCCATAAAAAAACCCAAAAAAACCCAAAAAATCCAATACTCAAAACAAAACAAATTAAAAAAAAAACACAAAAAACCACAAAAATCCCTTAACCAGAACAAAAACCAAAAACAAAAAAATCCCATTTAAAAAAACCAAAAAAAAACCCCCCAAAAAAACCCAAAAAATCCAATCCTCAAAACAAAACAAATTAAAAAAAAACACAAAAAACCACAAAAATCCCTTAACCAGAACAAAAACCAAAAACAAAAAAATCCCATTTAAAAAAACCAAAAAAAAACCCCCCAAAAAAACCCAAAAAATCCACTACTCAAAACAAACCAACAAAAAAAAATCGACAAAAAACCACAAAAAAACCCTAACCAGCAGAAAAACAAAAAAATCCTATTAAAAAAAAAACCAAACAAAAAATCCAAACTCAAAACAAACAAAAAAACCCCAAACTCACAAAAAACACAAAAAAAACCTAACCAGCAGAAAACGAAAAAAAAATCCCATAAAAACAAAAAAAACCCCCCAAAAAATGCAATACTCAAAACAGACAAAAAAAATTACCATTAAAAAAACAAAAAAAAACCAAAAAACCCTCCAAAAATCCAACACTCAAAAGAAACAAACAAACAAAAAAAAACCCACAATAAACCACAAAAAAAACCTAACCAGCAAAAATCCCATTAAAAAAAAAAAAAACCAAAAAACCCCCCAAAAAAACCAACACCCAAAACAAAAAAAAAAAAAAAAAAAAACCACAAAAAAACCCCTAACCAGCACAAAACCTCAAAAAAAAAATCCCATAAAACCAAAAAAAAACCCAAAAAAAACCCAAAAAACCCTCCAAAAAATCCAATACTCAAAACAAACAAAAAAAAAAAACCACAAAAAAACCCCTAACCAGCACAAAACCTCAAAAAAAAAATCCCATAAAACCAAAAAAAAACCCAAAAAAAACCCAAAAAACCCTCCAAAAAATCCAATACTCAAAACAAACAAATTAACAAAAAAACCCACAAAAATCCTAACCAGCACAAAAACAAAAACAAAAAAAAATCCCATAAAAAAAACAAAACCAAAAAAACCCTAAAACCCTCCAAAAAATCCAATACTCAAAACAAACAAATTAACAAAAAAACCCACAAAAATCCTAACCAGCACAAAAACAAAAACAAAAAAAAATCCCATAAAAAAAACAAAACCAAAAAAACCCTAAAACCCTCCAAAAAATCCAATACTCAAAACAAACAAATTAACAAAAAAACCCACAAAAATCCTAACCAGCACAAAAACAAAAACAATCCCATTAAAAAACCAAAAAAAAAACCCCCGAAAAATCCAATACTCAAAACAAACAAAAACCCACAAAAAAACCTAACCAGGACAAAAACAAAACCAAAAAAAAAAATCCCATTTAAAAAAAAACACCAACAAAAAAATCCAATACCCAAACCAAACCAAACCAAACCATTAAATAATAATAATAAAAAAAAAATTAAATAAAAAATAAGCCACAAAAGCCACAAAGAAAAACAAAACTTGGGGAGCAATGAGAAGCAGAAGCCCAGGGAGGCCCCGGGCCCTTTTGGGCGGTTCCCGAACTCAACATCTGGGGGCCAGATGTGACCTCCGCACTCACTCGACGTTCTTGGACCACTCGGGCGGGTTGCTGAAGGTCATGAACACGCAGTTGGTCAGGATGGTGCACATGATGATCATGCTGAACACTGTGCGACCGAGTCAAGGAGCAAAGGCGCACACGGGAACGGCCGGGACCCCCGGAGCCCCCGGAGCCCCCAGAGACCCCGGAGCGCCCGGAGCACCCAGAGACCCCAGAGCCCCCGGAGCACCCAGAGACCCCGGAGCGCCCGGAGCCCCTGGAGCTCCCGGAGCCCCCGGAGCCCCCAGAGCCCCCGGAGCCCCTGGAGCCCCCGGAGACCCCGGAGCCCCCAGAGCCCCCGGAGCCCCTGGAGCCCCCGGAGACCCCAGAGCACCCAGAGCCCCCAGAGACCCCGGAGTCCCCGGAGACCCCAGAGACCCCGGAACCCCTGGAGTCCCGGGAGCCCCCGAAGCCCCTGGAGCCCCCAGAGACCCCGGAGCGCCCGGAGCCCCCGGAGCCCCTGGAGACCCCAGAGCCCCTGGAGACCCCGGAGACCCCGGCCCGGGGAACAGCCACTGCCAGGCTGCTCTCAGTGGGTTGCTCCTGGGAAACGAGATTATCTCTATTTTATTTCTAGTATTCATTGTTATTTATTTATTATTTGTATTTTATTTTTTTTCATATTTATATCTTATATTATTTATTGATATTATTTATATACATATTATATATAAATATATTTTTATATATTTTATATATTATTTTCTATTATTTATTTCTTATTTATATTTCATTTAATTATATTTATATTCATATTTTATATTTTATATTATTTATTTATATATATTATATAT